AAGATAGATAAGGCCTTAGTAAAATAAGGCCAGCCCCCTTCTCTCTCTCTCTCTCTCTTTTTAAAAGATTTTATTTGGGGCTACTGGGTGGCTCCGTCGTTAAGCGTCTGCCTTCCGCTCAGGTCATGATCCCAGGGTCCCTGCTCCGCGGGAGGCCTGCTTCTCCCTCTCCCACTCCCCCTGCTTGTGTTCCTTCTCTCGCTGTGTCTCTGTCAGATAAATAAATTAAAAAACCTTAAAAAAATAAAAATAAAAGATTTTATTTATTTATTAGAGAGAGAGAGAGAGAGCACAAGCAGGGGGAGTTGCAGACGGAGAGGGAGAAGCGGACTCCCAGCTGAGCAGGGAGCCCGATGCGGGGCTCGATCCCAGGACCCTGGAATCATGACCTGAGACGGAGGCAGACGTTTAATGACTGAGCCACCCAGGCGCCCCATGGCCAGCCCCCTTCTCCATGCCCATCCTCCCAGGCCTTCCCCGGGAATGCTGCAGTCTCCAGTTGTCCCTTTGTCTGGTGGCTTTCACACCCCAGGGGAGAGCACCAGGGTACAGTTAGGATGGCTGGAGGTGGGCCTCTCTTTGGGGAAATGGTGAGGAGGGGCCGTTATGTAAAGAGAACTGTAGAGCCAGGCGGCTGCCAGTCTGGCAGTTTAGGAAAGGACCCCCCCGTGGAAGTGAAGGTTTGGGAAATTGACCCTCCGAAAGCCAGCTGGGTCCCAGCAGCCCCTGGAAGTGCCTGCATCTCCCACACGTGTGCGGGCAGGAAGAACACTGAACCACGTGCCCACTGGGTATGCCACCCAGATTGTGCTCTGTGAACATTACATCGCTCACTCCAGAACTGTGGGCCTTTGGGGATCTTTTGCTGGAGCTGGGACTGGGTCTTTCTCCTGTGGGCTCCCCGGTGACAGCTTGGACGCACGTCCCATGTTTCTTCCCAGCTCCTCCTTCCCGGTGAGGTGGCAGGAGCTCACACTGTCCGGATGCCTCCTTGTTACAGGTAAATGGAGGCCCAGAACAGGAGGCCACAGGTCGGTCCACGTGCCCCACCAAGAAAGCCGCTGGCCTTCCCAGGGGAGGCATCACAAGGCAAAAAAGCCTTGAGGGAGTCAGAAGAGCTGGTCTTCAGATGTCCATCCCCTGCCTCAGTGCAAGTCGCTTGAACTCTCTTGTGCTCAGCTTGTCTGTTAAATGGGCTGATGTGGCGAGCACTTAGCCTGTGGCGTTCACAGGCTTTGAAGTTGGGCAGACCTGGCTTTGCCGTTTACTAGTTGCATGACCTTGGGCCAGTTACTTGCCTCTCTGTGCCTGTCTCCCCATCAGTAAGCGGGGATGAAGATAGTGTCTCCCTCTTGGGCTGGTTGAGAGGGTCAACGAAACAATGACTATATAGTGTCTGGCCCACACAGCATGCTCAGTAAATATTATTGTTGTTGTTATGCTTGTTTTTTATTCTCCGTAGGAATTATAGTCCGGGAAAAGCTGAGCGGAGTGAAGTCCTGGTTGAGACTCTCCAAGGGCAGGGCCGGGCTGGTGTGTGGCATTGTCTCCTTCCCAGGATGGCAATGCGTTTGGAGGGGTGCTTAATACATGTCACCAGATGAGTGACGAGAGCAAGGGCCGAGGCTCTTATTACTGCCCTAAGCCCCGGCCATCCGCCGAGCCTACTGTTGGCATGTTCCTCTGGCCTTCACCTGGGAGCCAGAAGCCTCTGGCCTTCTTGTCCTGGGGGAATGAGGACTGACCACATATGCTCCCCGCATCTCCCCTTAGCTAAGAGCTTCGAGAGTGCCCTGCTTTTGGGGTCCACCCTGCCGGGCCCTGTCAGAGACCTGTTGTTGCCCAGCCTCTCCCCCCACTGTGGGCTCCTGTGCTCTTCCGTGGTGGACAGGCCACAGATGCCCAACTAACTCACCTTTCTGTCTTAAAGCTGCCCCGTCTCAATTTCCTGTGGGCCTCCTCAGCAGATGTTTTATTTTTTTAAGATTTTATTTATTTCTTTGAGAGAGAGAGAGAGAGAGAGAGAGAGAGCACAAGCAGGGGGAGGGGCAGAAAGAGGGAGAAGAGGCTTCCCGCTGAGCAAGGAGCCCGATGCGGGGCTCGATCCCAGGACCCCGGAATCATGACCTGAGCCGAAGGCAGATGCTTTACCTACTGAGCCACCCAAGTGCACCCCCACCCCAGCAGATATTTTATGAAGAGTCTTGTCCCCACCCCTCCATCCCTTCCCCTTGGGAATTTTGTCATCTTTTCTTACAAACTTTCAGCTGGAAGCTACTCACTTGTCCTTGTCGTCAGCCTCAGAGAAGTAAATAATAAAACAGATGCTCCAATCCACCATGGGATTTTGCTGTTTCAAGGAATTCCTTTGTCAAGCAGAGAATCCTTTTGTAAAGTGAATAATTGCTCACTTTGGATTTCTGTCCAGGAGTTTTTTTGTTGTTCAGGAGCTTTCTCAGGAGTGGGGCCAGGCTAGTTTGTAGGCCCCGGGGATAGGGAGGCTCCTCGCCTCCTGCTCTACCAACTGAAAGGGCTCGGGCTCTGGCTTCTAGATCTTCTGATTACCTTTAATCCTTCCGCCGTCTTCCTGTCAGGGCTCTGGCCCGCCAACATCGATCACGCCGGCCCGGAAGGTGGTGACGGGTTTGTGTTCCTCGTTCTGTTTTGTTCCTTTGCTTCGCCAGTCATGTCTCCATGGAAACAGGTGCAGCCTTTGTGTTGCCTTTGCTTTGGGCAAATCAATGCCTAGTGGGGGATTTTTCTTTGCTGTCTACCCCCCCTCCCCAGTTTGGCATCAAAGAGAGAGGTGGGGGCAGCGCAGGAATCGACAGGAGGTCTTTGGTGGCCTGGGGCGCCCGGGGTGGGGGAGCCGACTGTGAGTCGTCCAGCCTCGGACTCCGAGGCATGGTGCCTGGCCTGGCCTCCCCTTCGGGGTTGTGACACGTGCATCACGAGGCCATCAGATGGAGGGGAGCGCGCAGCAGTTTGTAGACACTCAGCCCTCCTGGGCCCCCTGCATTCTCGCAGACAGCTGCTCGCCCCTGCGGGCCGGAGGCTGGGTCAGAAAAGCTGACATCTGCGCTCATCCTTTGGCAGGACCCTTGAGGGTGAGGATTCTGACTTTTCTGGGCCCTGGTTTCTCCTGAGGGCCTGAGAGGTTTTAAACCTCTTTGGTAATGTGCCTCCTTTGACCTTCAGGAAACCCCACGTTTGGGTAAACTCTGCTAAGTTATTGTCACAAACTTGTTCAATGGTCACTAGTACACCCTGCGTTTGATTCCAACCAGTGGGTTACCTGGTTTGAGATGAATCTTCAGATTCAGGAACCTCTCTTGAGACTGAGCATCTTGCTCCTATTCCAGGTGCCCCTTCCTCTGGCCCAGGCTATCCTGCGTCCCTGGCCGATCACAGTCTGCTCGGGGAGCCTTCTGTTCCAGGCCAAAGCACAGGTGTTGGGCTGAGCAGCCTGGGGCAACAGCAGATCTGCTCTGTGGCTTGTGGTGCTCCCAGAAAGAAGTTCATTGGTGAGTGGGCAAGGGCAGCCCCCGAGGGACGGGGCTTCCGGGGGCGAAGCGGTGTGTTTGGAAAATATAGTCACCTTGGGCACCGCAGCTTTGACGAATTCCGTTATCCTACCGGCGACCCAGTAGGTTTCTAACAATACTGCACTCGTGCTAACTTTAATGCAGTCACTTTAACCTCATTGATTAAATCAGCAAACTGTAAACTTCATTTTAATATCTGAACTCTCTCCCCATCTGCCTGTTAAGTGCAGCAAAGGATGTATTTAACCTCAGATTTGCATTGTTCGAGAGCCTGCCTCGACACTGGACCTGGAGTGAAATTGCCCGAGGAGACCGCTGAGTGTGTTAGGTGATACAGTCGTGGGGGCAAAGGTCAAGTTGTCCAGTCTCCTGCCTGCAGAATGGGTACATGATGGAGCTGCAACTTCTGGGTTTCTATCCTGGGAAGTGAACTCTCTCACGCCTCTTTATAGTCCACGAGGTTTCTTCTGGAATCTAACTTAAGTCCCATTTCATTTTGTCCTGACTTAAGAAAGATAGAGAACAGAGAGCAAGTATCTTTAATGCTTTCCTCAAAGACCCTTCAATCTCTGCTCGGCCTTGGCCAAACACACCCCATTTCTGAGGGTTGTGTTCTCACTCTCTCCTTCCGGCAGAGCACTGCCTGAGTTTTTTGTTGGTAAGACAAGGGGAATGGTAGCCGTCTCACTGGGTTGGTGTGAAAGTCAAATGAAGGCTCTGGGGATACACCTCACCACGTACCTGTCATGGCTCATCTTTAATCACCCCAGTTGACCCTGAATACATTTTATTCCCCGCCTCCCATGACACCTCTCACAGTTCCTGAGTGGTGACACTTTCTTTGCAGCATCTCTCCAGTAAAGCCCCTGGGCTTGTAGAACATCCTCCCCATTGTTCCCAGGCCCAGACAGGCCAGGTGGGGCAGGTGCAGGCCACCCCTCTGCTGTTCCGAGCCAGTGGGCCAGGAGACGTGGGCGTGGGGGGAGAAAAGCCTTTCCATGCCAAGGCCCTGAGTGGCACTGTCCCTGTCACTGTCTCTCAACGGAGGTCTGCCCCCAGTGGGGACCGCTGACTCCTGGGCTCTCCCCGATGGTTGCAGCAGTGTCCCTGGTACCTGACTGCAAGGGGCTACCAGCAGGGACAAATGGCTCCTGTGGACAGCAACCTGGATTCGGGCTTTGTCCAAAAGCACGTGATGCTTCGAGCCGCTGGGACCCCTAAACCACTGGGAGCAAGGGCTTCAGAGGGAGCTAGTTTTTTTCTAGCTGTTCATCTTTTTTCCTTTGCATGGACTACATCAATCGTAGCCGACTAGTGGAGAACAAGGACCCTGGAGCCATTCTGCCTGGGTGCTTGTCCATCTCTGCCTCCCTGGGTCTCGGGCTTCTCCGTGTCACAAAGGAAGTGCCAAAAAAAAAAAAAAATTGCTGTAATTTCTCTAGAGTTTTGAAAAATCTGCCTAGTGCAACTGTTTGATGTAAAATTTCCTTCCTTCCCTTTCTCCTGGTCGGCATAAAAATCTGTATTGCTCGCCCACTTTATGCTGGGCACTGACCTGGGTGTTGGGGTCGAAGAACTGAATGAGACCAAAACAATCCACTGTCTGCCGGGGCCACCAGCTGCACACCGGTCATTGTGATAGGTAATCAGTGCTGCCACGTTGATGGTGCGGCAAGGATCTAAAAGGCCAAGGCTGTGTGGAGGTGTGCCAAAGAGTACCTCTGGGAAGGCTTCTTGGAGGAGGAGGACCGTGATCTGAATCCTGAAATAAAGAGTCACAGCTGGTCAGCGTGAGGCTGTTGGGGCCAAGGCGTGGAGAGCACAGGGAAATGTGCCAGGATCTGTGGTGGTCAGAGGAAAGCCCAGCCCAGGAGTCAGACGTGCATTGGCTAAAGCAGCGGGTCCCTGGAGGACTGGCTGGCCTGACCTGGGAAGGTGGTATCCCTTCTCCAGAATCAGATCTGGGCATCTTTAATGTTGACATTCCTTCTCTCCAGCTGGTCTCTAGGTTCCCTTGGTGTTTTCCCTACGGCCACTGTCCCTCCCTCCTCCCCTCTTAGATAATGATTTGCTTCTCACCTCTGAGGTGGTATCTCAAGTCTGGAAGTCCCTGGAATACCCTGAGCCTCTCTGACTTGCTGTGGGGGGCAGGGAATGGAAATGACGTGTTCCTGGGGTGGGGGGGACTCTGATTCAGTAGGGGGCCCTAGACCTTTGTCTTTCAGAAGCTCCCCAGAGACCCTGCTGCACCCTCCAGCCCAGAATCCCTGCTCCGGGGGGCCCGAACGCATGCAGCCTCTCCCCACTGAGGCACTGAAGGATGTTCCCTGCCTGGTTTCCTTGCCGTTTCTTTCTTTTACTTTTACAGATGGCATTATTGTTGCTTGTTTGTTTGTTCGTTTTGTTTTTAAGTAGGTTCCATGCTGGGCATGGAGGCTAATGCAGGGTCTGAACTCACGACCATGAGATCGAGACCTGAGTCTTGATCAAGAGTCGGCCGCTTGGGGCGCCTGGGTGCCTCAGTCATTTAAGGGTCTACCTTCGACTCAGGTCACGATCCTGGGGTTCTGGGGTCATAGGGCTCCCTGCTCAGCGGGGAGCCTGTTTCTCCCTCTCCCCCCTGCCTGCCGCTCTCCCTGCTTGTGCTCTCTCTCTGTCAAATAAATACATAAAATCTTAAAAAAAAAGTCGGACGCTTAACCGACTGAGCCACCCAGCGCCCCTGTTGCTTGTTTTTAAGTCTCTCCTTTTATTCTTCCAATGGGGACCTCTATCATCTTGTTTTGGGCTTTACTACCTTCTTAAAAGATAATGTTAGATAGTGAAATGGGGGCACAAAGAATTAAAAGTTGCCCAAGGTCACAGAGAAGCCAACACCCCCAATGGAGAATCTGCAGTGTCTTCAGCCTGCCCAGAATGTCTTGCTGGGGCAGAAGGCCCTAGTGTCCAGAGCCCCAGATGTTTGCAGAAATGGGACAAGGGTCTGCTCTTTAGATATCTGCTGCCTTTTTATTAGGAGGTGGTATCTTCTTGCCTCCCTCCAGTAGGTTCTAGGCCTGCACCATTACAACTGACATAGGCAGACAGGTCCAAGGACCCAGAGGGGGCCCCACAGGCCCAGCCAAGAGGGTCCTTGGCTTTGTGCAGAATAGAAATCAAATGTAAGCCAGGAGGAAATGAGAGCCGAGTTTACTGAATAGCATAATGATAGAGTATAGCAGACAGAGTGTCTGAAAGACTCAGAAAGGTGAGACTTTGTCTCATTGTTGCTGGACTTAGGGGTTTATACAAGAAAAGGGTCCAGGGTGTTCCTCCAGGAATCCAGGGTAGGGATCAATCACAGGAAGTGTCAACTGAACAAGAGGTGTTCTTCCATAAATCACCGAAAGTAGGGGTGTCGATGCCAGTGTGGGCCAAGGTTTGTTCAAAGCTAATGTCCTGGAACATGTTTGGGATCCCCTTCTTCTTAGATGTTATCAGGTGTTCTGGGGCCAGGACGAGACTCAGAGAACAATTCACTTCCTTGCTCCCCCCTTGGAGTGGGAAAGGAGCTTCTTTGGGTTTACCTAGATGCAAGGTGAACAATAGAGCATGAGGGGCACCTGTCAGCCAAGCTCAGTCAGCTAAGCGTCTGACTCTTGATTTCAGCTCAGGTCATGATCTCAGGGTCCTGGGATTGAGCCCCACATTGCCTCTGAGCTCAGCTGGGAGTCTGCTTCTCTCTCTCTCTCTCTGCCTCTCCCCCAGCTGGTGCTCTCTCTCTCTCTCAAATAAATAATTAAAATCTTTAAAAAAAAAATTAGAGCGTGAGTAAATGGTGCCTTTCTAAAATGGAGTCCCTTCAGCTTCCCTGTCTCACAACCATTGTTCCCATTTGCTCTGCCCGCTTACTTGGACATCTGTTCTCCTAACAATATCTGCCCATAAATCTTGTCTCCGAGTCCTGGGTGGCTTAGCTGAGGACAAACGAAGCCTGCAACTGGCGACCAGACCTTCCCCATGGCTACACGTGGACGTGACCACAACTGTGCGTGCTCGCCAGGAGGCACCAGCACCTGCCTCTCCGGCCATGGCTGTGTGTGGGTAGCGGTCACTGGGGCTGCAGGGGTGGGCTCTTTGGCTGCCTTTGGAAGGAGCCCTTTCTGCAGGCTTCTCTGGTAACTTAATGCTATTGTAATTCTTGGTTTCCGTAGAGAAAAGAGATTTTCATTTTGTACACCCAGACATACAGTAGGTGCGCACTAAGTGTTTTGTTTTGTTTTGTTTTGTTTTTTTTAGACTGACAGTGAATGCGTGAGTGAATAATTAGAAGTCTGTGTGTGAAGGAAAAGGTTCCGTTTACCTGGGACCTTCAGAAGACCTCCTGGGTAATGTAGGGCTGCCGAAGAAGTGCTCCTCCCAGGCTCTGCCCGTAAGAGCCGCCAGGAAGGCAGGGAGTGGTACAGTGCCACATTGCCCAGCCCACGGTCCCTGAGGGCTCTCTCCCGTTTTCCAGACCACCAGCACATGGTCAGTGCTAGGGGTGGTCTGGAAGAACAGAGGGAGATCAATACTGGCCGTTGGAAGAGACTGCCACATGGACGGGGGAACTTGAACTAGCTCTTGAAAGCTGGACAGGGCTTGTTGAGGACAGAGGAGAGGGTTCTAAAGCATGCTCTCTGAACCAGCATCATCTGAGCACTTGTTAGACACACAGATTCTTGGCCCTCTCCCCCACCCCCAGACCTAGGGAACAGAAGCTTTGGGGCTAGAGTCCAGCAATGTGTGTTCAGCCAGCATTGCGGGTGATCCTGATGCCCACTGAATGTAGTGAGCACTAATGCAGGCAAAGGAAGGAGTCTGAGCCTCACATGAGTGACGGGGAAGCTGGGAAGTGACCTGACATATTTTATTTTATTTTATTATTATTTTTAATTTTATTTATTCATTTGAGAGAGAGAGAGAGAGCACAAGCAGGGGGGGTTGCAGAGGGAGAAGCAGACTCTCCACTGAGCCAGGAGCCCGACCTGGGGCTCGATTCCAGGACCCTGGGATCATGACCTGAACCGAAGGCAGACGCTTGACCATCTGAGCCCCCCAGGCGGCCGCGACCCAGCATATTTTACATGAGTTCTTCCGTTGGTGGCACCAGAGAGAAGACAGGACGGGGACAGGAAGGGTGGCTAGGAGGCATCAGAAAAGCAGGCATGGGATGAACTTGAGGTTTGCGGATCTCAGCCGGATTGGTGGTGGCCTTGGGAACAGAGAGCAAAGCCAAGCGGTCCTGTGACGGGAGAGCGGATAGGCCTGGTGGCACATTTGGTCTCGTGTACCCTTTTCTTTAAAATGTTTAAAAATGACGTGTGCCCTATCACATTGTTACATGCTGATCATGGGACAAGGTAAAGACAGAAGGAAGCAAAGAGGGGGGCGGAATTCCACCACATCCAAGATGACCGCCGACAGACGGAGCGTCTCCTGCTGGCCCTTTTTCCTCTGCATGTTCCCTTGGTGGGGCTGAAAGCAGAGCATTCTGTATCCGTTTGCATCCTGCATTCTTTGCTTGACAAAATATCATAAGCATTTCCTGATGTGCTTTCAGGCTGTCTCTTCTTCTTGTCACAGGAGCTCCCATAAGTTGGCCAGGGCGGTGCTGGTAAGGAAGGAGTAAGTGAGGCCCCGAGAGAAAAGGGAATTTGGTCCATGACCTTCAGACAGTAGAGAAGGCAAGAGTCACATGGCTGGGCACGTCAACTCACAAATTATAAGGAAAAAAAGAAGATGATGGGGGAAGCCGTAGATTAAGATAGTCCTAAAGGACAAATGACATGCACGACTCAAGTCCAGTGTCCAGGGATGTCCATCTGGACAGTAAAGGAATGCAAGGAGCAATTACGACAGAAGTCAGCGTGTGGCACGGGGAGGGGTTGCGGAGTGGCCGCTTAACTACTGAGCCACCCAGGCGCCCCTCAGTTTTTTTTTTTTTTAAAAAAAAGGTTCAAGAGAAAGAAGATCTTGCTCAAGGATCCATGTGGCAGAGCCAAGGGCTGAACCCAGGCTCAGAGGTTCCCCTTGGGTCTCTGATCCCCATTGCTCCCGCACTCTGTGCGTTGTTTGCTCGCCCACCTCCCGGTCCCCAGCCCCTGATCTGCCACTTGCTGCAACAACTGCAGATTTTTTTTAAAGATTTTATTTATTTATTTGAGAGAGAGAGAGAGAGAGAGCACAAGCAGGGGGAGGGGCAGAGGGAGAGGGAGAAGCAGACTCCCTGCTGAGCAGGGACCCCCCCCCAACATGGGGCTCCATCCTAGGACCCCAGGATCATGACCTGAGCTGAAGGCAGACACCCAACCAAGCCACCCAGGCACCCCAACAACTTCAGATTTATGGGTTCCGTTTTGGTTGACTTTGAGGGCCAGGCTGAGATGTGCTGTGGGGAGAACGGTGATGGATGGCCCTTGCCTGAAATGGGGAAGCTCTGAAGGAGATCGGTCAGGGTAGGAGTGCAAGTGTGTCAGCCATGTCACGTGTGTGGCGTGTGCAGGGCTGGGGGGATGCCTTGACCAGTCTTGCCCTCTCTGGTTGTTCAAAGATCCAGACCCAAATACCCAACATCGCTCACCTCTCAGAATCTCCTTCCTTAGCCTGGTCCATCTGTTTCCTTGAAATACCGGTTTTTGTCTTTATAAGCCCTTACCCTCCCCACCCACTCCCACAACATGGCCCCCCTTTCCTCTGACTCCTTCCCATTGCTCTGGACAGGCCCAAGGAGGCAGTGCCAGGGCCACCACGGGGCATACCTAGA